TATCTTTTCGCCCATTACGTTCACTCGTTTATATTATGCTATTCTGTCACTTTTTTTTTCATGTATTTTGATTATTGCAAATGATTCCTTTCTGCTAGCCTAATAGTTTTTAGTTGGACTCTATTTTTAAGCATTTCTTACAAACCATAACTTGGCTAAGCCTCATTTATTATTCTTATTGACCAGCCAGTAACTTTAGTAGATATTCTCACTCATTAACTGGAGTTAATGTTGAAGAATAGGGTGAAAAATGAGCTAGACCAAATGTTAACATTGCTAGCAAAGTTGCCGTGTAAAAGATAGAATTAAACTTGCATAGCTCTTAATTTGGAAGAATCGAAGGAGGTGAAACCGATAAGACTGCACCCCAAATTGTTTGGATAAGGCTAATAGTGATGATGAAATATCTGCCCTGATGCGCATTAGAGGAGGTTACTGTCCATGAATATATGGTCGAGAGCTTATTTAACTCATTTCCCACTGCATTGTAAGAGCCACCAGTGTTTGATTCTCTTACTTAAAAATCCTTCCACTAAATTATATTGATGCTGATTTTTTCCTTAACTTTTTAAATAAAAATATTAGAGATGGAACAGCTTTACAACCATGAAAAAAGAAAATGAAAATTTGCATGCAGTTTCCTCCTACACCATTGAATGTGGTTTTCTAATGCCTTTACCTATTTTAGTGCTCCTCGATGACTATTTTCTTGGCGGTTATGTTCTTGCATACATGGCAAGATGTAGGCCTTCCAATTGCGACATGAGCTTCACTATGCAGGAGATATTCAGTAAACATATATACTGGATTAGCTTTTGGCATTATGTTTGTGGTATTTTCATCTCTGAACGGTTTTTCCATGACATGTGTTACTTGATACTTTATTTGGTGGAATTCATTTTAACTTACCCCATAATTTAAAGAAAAAATGAATGTGCACATACAATTGCATAAAAATGGCTTAGAAACATTTACAAAGCCATGCCTATGGCTTTGAAAGATGGGACTAAGACGTGGCTCACTTATGCATGCATATATTATTTCATAAATATTATCAAAAACAAGTAGACAAAAAACCCTCCTTGAATGCTTTTGGTTTACTTTCTTGCAGTTATTGCAACTTCAGTATATTGCCTAACTTTCTCCTATTCTACTGATATGTTTATTTAATATCCTTGCATAAGCGGAAACTTATTAGTTAAAGCATTTGCGTTAGTCATGCGCCATGCTTAGGGATTAGGAAAGGACTAAAATATTTCTTAGTGAAAAGTGCTGTTTGAAAGCTTATTTCTTTGTTATTAATAATTCATTGCTATGATATTGATGCTTCCTCATGGGCTAATCCACAAATATTCACGAGACAGATATCTTGCTTCAATTAACAAGCCCTCCACATTTTGCCGATGTCCAAAAAAGTTGGTTGAAATGTTGCCATTCTCTATGCCCTCACTTAAGGGATAGGAAGGTTAATTTCTAGATGCCCCACTTATAGTTTTCTTAATGGCCTTTTAAATAAAAAAGTATTCTGTTGAAACCTATCCATTCATCATTTTCTTGAATATCCCCAACATATATTGTATTAAGGTTAGACATTAAAGCTTTTAGTTTTTGCTGCGCGCGCGCACATATCTATATATATATAAATAAAAATAAATTTTTTTTAGGACTCCTTTTGGCGATTATCTAAACAAAAACGGTAAGGTTTAGTTTAGGTCAAGTTCATTTCTTCATTACTATAAAATAATTCCCCTTGTAAGCACCATTTAGACCTTGCTTTGCATGAATGCAATTTTCCTTGCGAAAATTTGATCGGCAAATAAGTCATTATTTGGTGTTTGTGTGATGCCTTTCCTCCTCTAAGAGTTTTGTAGAAAGGTGCTGGAAAACAATTCCGTTCCTTGTGGTTATTTTCTTCTTCCAAGACTCTACCCATTTCTCAGTTTATTTTCCATATATTTTAGCCCAACTTGCCACCCCTTTGCTTCACAGTGACCCCAAATCCCCCGTTCTCCATCAAAGATTGAATTTATAAGCCTAACAAGCTTCGTACATCGAATGCAACTCATAATATAGATTTTAATCATGACATCAACACATGAGCTTGAGCATAAAATTAAATTTTAATACTGACATGTTGATTGAACACTACTAGAGAAAGTTACGATTAAGAAATTAGAAAAAAAGTTGGCTTTAAAAGTATTGCTCATTAAATTTTAATCTAGCACATAAAAACTGAGTTAAGAATTTTGAAATTTTTAACTTGCTTAGCGCCAAAGACGTGCAATAGACACATAACCAAGACAATTCTTCAAAGTTCAAGGTAATTTCAAAATGCCAAAGTCACCAATTACAAAAATCCAACGCTTAACAATGAGAGCGTTCACCATCTAGGGCCCGCTCTCACTCAATATTTTCCGGCTTTTAGCCGGAGAAGAAAGATGACCCATATGATGAAGGCATATACCACTAGAGGGAGGAAGGCCGCCCCACCGAAGAACTTCCGTTGGCGTGGAGAGCGTAGCCAGTGGAGATGAGATAGTGGCGTGGCCGACGAGCTCCAATCGTTAGTTGAAAGTGGCGGTCGATGACGCTCCAAGAAGTAGGCGACAACTCGCTCCAAATAACTCTCCAAAACGTGGCGATCGTCTTCAAATCCCACGTCGAAAAACAGAGATTCTTAGTATGTTGAGGCTTCTGTCGCCGCATGATACCAAGCCCCACT